GATGTTGAAATTGGAGAAGGCTCTGTTGATTCTGATGAGCAAATTTGTGGTAAATGTCAAGCCTAGCAATTGAAAAGTCATTCCCTCCTCACTAGGAAGGAATCTTGGTAGCTTGTTTTGATGTTTTTTCTATTATTTGGGTTATTTCAGGGTTGTGATCCAGATTGTATTTGTTTTATTGAGTCAAACCCTTCTATCCCTCCATTCTGTTTGTGTGAGTCTTGTCTGTCTGTTCTGTTGCTATTTTCATTATTCAGGTTATTTAAGGGTTGTAACTCGTATTTTGGGTTGCTTGTTTAGTTTTAAAACCCTTTCATTCTTTACTCAATAAAATACAGTTTGTCCTTTTGTGTCATTTTGTTCCTAGTTATTTTGTCACTAGTTCTAATGACATGACATGCATGCGGAAATTTTTGCCTGATCTTAGGAACAGATTTAATCTGGAATTGGATAACTAAAAAAATAAAAAAATACATTTGAGGATGAATAAAAAGTTGGAATACTTTGGAACTAAGGTCGAGTAAAATTCACTTTCAAATTATTGTGAAGATCAGGCTTGAGGATGTTTAATCAATTGAACTTTGTTGGAAAGTTTGTCACTAAGGGATGAAAAAATGTCTTGTGACCACGGCACACCAAGAAGACAGACATGTTCGTCAATGCTGTGATTGCGAAAATATACCATGTTTGACGTTCTCAAGGTTGGGAGGCCCTTTTTCTGCTACCCAAACACTTTATATCCTTGGCTACCCCTTTTGAGCCTGTGTTATTCTCTTTGACTACCCTCTTTTGGAATCAAGTTTAGAGTCAGGAGTCAAAAAAACGAAAAATGAAAAAAAAAAAGCAAAAAAGAAAAAAAGAGTCCATGTCCCAAGAGTACAAACTGGGCAATTCCTAGAAAGTTCAAGTGAAAAAAAAAAAAAGAATTTTCGTCCCTCAAAAAATAGAAGCTGGGCAACTTGTTTTGAAAAATAAAAGAAAAAAAAAGAAACAAAAAGAAAGATGAATTATAGTTAGGTCAGATGTTTGAACTACGTTCGACCTAATTCCTTAAAAAAAGGATACGTAGGTAGCCTCATGGTTCGGTCCAACCAAATAAGAATTCAAAAAAATCCAAAAAAAAATCTCCAATGTCTAAAACTGGGCAAAGATTTTATTCTTATTTTTGAAAGAGTTGGTTCCAAGAGTTGTAAGTCTACAACCCCTCATTTTGAGTTTACTTTAAGCCTTCATGTCGACCTTTCTTTCCAACCCTATCCAAAAACCTTCCAAATAAAGACCTCCCGATATGCCTTCAAGAATGTCAAGTGACGCATGTAATGAGAAACAGTTGTCACACGACATAGAACATTGTCAAGTTGCTCATACAAGAAGGCAAAAGAAAAAGAAAAAATGAGAGAGTCTTACTAGTGAAAACCTTCACGGGCACTGTAAGGCGGCGGTAAGTAGAGATGAATAAATGAGAGAAACTTGTTGGTGAAAACCCCTCGGAGCACCACTAGTCGAAAGTGAGTTGAAGCTGATACAAAGGATTGGCACGAACAAGCCCGACTTCAAAGGTCATAAGAATGGTAAAAGGGAAGATTGGATTAGTTTGATAGATCAGGCCGTTGAGTCCAAAATGTATGTCATGATCATTAAAGCTAGTTATTGAAAAAAAAATCCTTCCTTCTGTCCTTCCGACAGGGGCATTTCTTGTTAATACTTGTTTCTTTGCACCATTGTGTCCTCCACTCTGAGTCAGTCCTTGTCAAAACAAGCAAGAAAAGATTTCAAAATCTACTACCAGCTTTTCAATTGCACAAAGTAAATTTGGCCAGCACACTCAGTTTTTACTGTCAACATGCCTTGAGGATTCATGCAAAGGCTCCCCCTAAAGACTCTTGTCAGCCTACTTGGCACAAACAAAGATAACTGGTGATTCTCTCTGACAGACAAATTGCTCAAAAGCAGGAAGTCATTCAAGATATCAGAAAAAGGTCACCTAAGAAAAGTCTCCAGTTGGGATAAGGCTGATTTGAGCTACAAATACAAATGTATTGGGTGTGAAACAATCAGGGTTGATGCAGAGCAAAAGTCTCTTGAGACTGACTCAAGTTGATGGAGCACAAAGCCAAACTGCCAAAGACTCAAGGCCACAAACCGACCACCATTTTCAAAACTGACCAATTTTTCTTTGTGTGAAACAGGAACAAAGCAGTGCAAGGAAAGTGGTTCAAAAAAAAAGAAGAAAAAGAAAAGGAAAAAAACAAAAAAAAAAGAAGGAAAAGAAAAGAAGAGAAGAGACTACCAAGGGAAGTTTCTCAAATCTTTGCCTTTATTTGTCTTGCTATTGTGCATAAAATCTTGCCATTGATCTTTACATTTTTCCTCCTAGGATAAAAAGTCCTAATCTGATGAATTTTCTCCTAGGATAAACGTCTTAGTCTGATGAATCTTTCTCCTAAGATAAGAAAATCTAGTCTGGTAAATCTTTCTCCTAGGATAAATGTCTTAGTCTGATGAACCTTTCTCATAAGATACAAAAAAAAAATCTTAGTCTGATGAATTTTTCTCTTAAGATAGAAGACCTAGTCTGATGAACTTTCTCCTAGGATAAAAATCTTAGTCTGATGAATCTTTCTCCTAAGATACCAAAAAAAAAAAGACCTAGTCTAATGAATTTTCTCCTAGGAGAAAAATCTTAGTCTGATGAATCTTTCTCCTAAGATAGAAGACCTGGTCTGATGAACTTTCTCCTAGGAAAGAAATCTTAGTCTGATGAACCTTTCTCCTAAAATACCAAAAAAGAAGTAGAAAAGAGACCTAGTCTGATGAATTTTCTCCTAGGATTAAAATCTTAGTCTGATAAATCTTTCTCCTAAGATAGAAAACCTAGTCCGATGAATTTTCTCCTAGGATAATAATTTTAAAAAAAAAAGAAGTCTGGATTTGAAAAAAAAGGGGTCAATTTTTAGTTTTCTTAATTTATCAATGTTTTGTTTTCTTGAAATCAGGGGCTCCCGCCTGGAGAATAGGGTCAGTTTTTACTTTAGTCAAGCTTAGTTTATAGTTTTCCGCAAGATCAATCACGTTTAGGAGATGCACATCCTAGTCGAGTCATTAATTTTACTCCCATCATTACATCTTTTATCAGCAGCGCAAGTGATTTATAGTTTTGTTAACACTCATAGATGTTCCCAATATCAAACTGGGGTAGAAAAATTTCTTTTGTTTAGTCTATTTTGTTGTAATCAGGCGCCCACCTGGAGAACAAGAGAAGACAACTCAAGTTTCAAGGGAAAGCAGTTTCGAAGGAAGACAACTCAAGTTTCAAGGGAAAGCAGTTTCGAAGGAAGACAACTCAAGTTTCAAAGGAAAGCAGTTTCGAAGGAAGACAGTTCAAGTTTCAAGGGAAAATGGTTCAAGGTGCAAGGGAAACAGTGTCAAGTAACAAGAGAAGATGGTTCAAGTTCAGCAATCAGGCGCCCACCTGAAAAAAAAAGGGGAATTCAATTCAGAATGCAATTCAGGTCAGCAACAAAAGAAGTTCGCGTCAAGAATGCGAGTCAGCAGTCCAAGATGATCAACAGAAGTTAGTCACAATCCATAATAAAAAGAAAAAAAACAAAAAGAAAGACAAGAAGTGAATCGAAATGCAGAAGTTAATGAAAGATGTGAGCTGCTCAAGACAGGGCTGAGGTCACAAGCTCTGCATGTCCCGTCTTGGTTTGAAAAGCTGAAGAAGATTGAACCAACACCTGCGGCTAACAAGCATCAAGATTCAGATCAGGGTCCGCATGAAAAACCAACCAAGACTCAAGATCAAGATTCATAAGACACATAGATAGGAACCTTGTAACTTGTAGCTGATAGGCTTAGTTAGTCTTTTTTATTTTTGATTTTGATGTGATAACGGGACCGCGGACCGGAACCTCAGCAGAACGACACCTCGATCGGCTCTCCACCTCGGTACTCCATCACCTCATTCACTTCTGAACTACACGTGGCCTGATTCCTTTATAGCCAAGGATATGTAGGCAGCTCAGATACCAGGGCTCGGTCACATTCTCCTTTCTTGTAGCTTTTGGTCTCTCCAAATAAGGGTCGGGTCAAAAACCTGTCTAGTCATTCTTTGTCTGAAAACTCTTCGCGTTTCCAGTCAAAGAGGTGCAGCTGTAGACATGTGATTTTTGACCCTCCTCAAGATTTTTCATATTTTAGCACGTAGATATTTAATTTAGGCCCAATATAGCTATTTTAATTAATTTTGACTCTTTTACTTTATTTTACTGCAAGAAAACAAAAATTACAAAAAATAATTTCATTAATGTATTGTAGTTATTTTTAATCTTGAAAAATACCAAAAATAGTGTTGTTTTAATGGTCAGTCTTATTTTAATAGTTATTTTATTTAAGTAGGACTAATTAATAAATGAGATCGTATTTTAATCTCGTTCGCGTGGAAAGAATAAAACTTGGGCTCGAGCAACCTATTTTTAGGCTTAATTTTGGACCTAGCCCATAATTCCCAAGCCCATACCCCTAACATAATCCCTACCCCTATATAATAGTACCTAATCCCTAAACACCCCTAGACCCCAAAAAGATTGAATCCGCCATTTTTTCATATGAGAAGAGACAAAGAGAATTCTCCAGCAGCTGCTTCTTCAATCAGCCATTTTCTTTCATTTGAAAATAGATCAGCCGAAGTTCTCAAGACCAAAAAAAGCTGACCTAAAAGGAATGGAAAAGCTGGCAGCGCTGTTCTTCATGAGAATTAAAAGCGCCGAATACACAAAAACCCGACCCCCCTTGGCTTCGTCCTCTCCACGTCGACTGAAGCAGCGCCATTGACGACCAAAAAACAACATCACTTCTTCACCTCCATTAATCTACATCCCGTCAGTGAAAGCAAGGTTCGGCGAAGTTGTCATGTTCCGTTCGAGGCTTTCGATTGTTGGTCCAGTCAGCAGTAGCTCAGTCCATTTTTGTGAAGGTTTGTTTTGAGATCTATTTCTTTCAATTTTGTTTTTGTTTGTTCTATTACTATGTATATGAATACATACCTTTTTTTGTTTTTTGCTTTTCTTGTGAAATTTATAAAAATGAAGTACATTCTCTTGCTGCTTGTTTTGCTTTCATTTAGTTAACGAGCTTCATTATTGGTTTAGCTAATAAATTGCCTACTCATGTGATTGCACTGTTTTATCTTTAAAAATATCATATTACATATTAGTTTTTATGTTTGGTGAATTGGCCGTAAAAGATGTGTGTTCCTTTTTGTTTGTCACAACTTAGATTCTTATACTACAGTGAGCGAATGGGATGAGTAAAATCTTTCTGGCTTATATGTGATTTCAAACAAATGATAGAGATAAGAAAGTTATGCAGCTATAATTACACAAAGCTTTAAGAATGTATAAACTTATTGTTGCATTACTATTGTTTCTTTGTCGACCCGTGATAATTTCAATGGATGAATCATGTTTACAAGTACTTTTTTGTTTATTGTGATTTACCTCACCGTGATTGAGAAGTGAAGCCATTGATTCTTCTTTACCACATTTGAGACTGATCTGTGTGTGAAACGTATGAACCTCGTAATTTGCTTTAAGCGCGTTGAATATATAATTATCATGGCTATTGAAATTCGGGGGTGCATTTCATGTGACCCGGTTCTAATTTCCAACAAGGTTAAATAGAACGTGTCGTGAACCATGGGTGCATTTCATGTAGCGTGGCTTACGATGTGTTTTAAATAACCTTGAATTTTCCCAAAATATTAAAGGCGGCTAAAAAGTGTAAATGCACATAGGTCTAAACATGTATTAAAATCAGATAATAGGCCAATTATAATAGTTTGAGCGACCGTGCTAGAACCACGGAACCTGGGAATGCCTAAAACCTTTTCCTGGGTTAACAGAATTCCTTACCCGGATTTCTGTGTTCGCGGACTATAGAATAGAGTCAATCTTTCCTCGATTCGGGATTCGAACTGGTGACTTGGGACACCATAAACTATCCCAAGGGGCGACTCTGAATTTAAAATAAATAACCCCATTTCGATTATCACTTTAAGTTGAAAAAACTCCCTTATACCCCTTGGCGGGGTGGTAAAAAGGAGGTGTGACAGACATCACGTGGCCTAAGAATGTCACGGAATCCAACCAAAATTCACATTTCGAGAACTTAGCATATAACTTCTTTTCTCTCAAGGTCGGAAGCACTGTCCTCAGAAGCTGCTCATGATCTTCTCGACTCCGGGAATACACCAGAATATCATCAATAAAGACAATGACGAACGAGTCAAGATACGGTCGGAACACACTGTGCATCAAATGCATAAAGGCTTCTGGGGCATTGGCCAGCCCAAATGACTTAACAAGGAACTCATAATGACCATACCGAGTCCTAAAAGCAGTCTTCGGGATATCTGGCTCCCGAATCTTCAATTGATGGTAACCTGAGCACAAGTCAATCTTAGAAAACACTCATGCGCCCTAAAGCTAGTAAAACAGATCATCAATACTAGGCAAAGGATAACGGTTCTTCACTGTAACTTTGTTCAACTGGCGATAATCAATACACATACGTATAGAACCATTCTTCTTAAAAAAAAAGACAGGAGCACCCCAAGGTGATACACTGGGCCTAATAAAACCCTTATCAAATAATTCCTATAACTGACCATTCAACTCAGGAGGAGCCATACGATACGGAGGAATAGAAATGGGTTGAGTGCCCGGCAACAGATCAATGCCAAAATCAATATCTCTATCGGGAAGCATGCCCGGAAGGTCAGCTAGAAATACATCAGAAAAAATCCCATACTACTGGGACTGAATCAACCGAAGGGGTATCAATACTGACATCTCTCACATAAGCTAGATACGCGTCACACCCCTTCTCAACCATATGCTGAGCCTTAAGGAAAGAAATAAATCTACTGGGAGTGTGATCTAAAGTACTCCTCCACTCAACACGCGGTACACCTGGCATAGCCAGCGTCATGGTTTTGGCATGACAATCAAGAATAGCATAATGGGGAAACAACCAGTCCATGCCTAAGATAATACCAAAATCTACCATGCTGAGAAACAATAAATCGGCTTTGGTCTCAAAACCACTAAGAGAAACCAAACACGATCAATAAACGCGGTCCACAATAATAGAATCTCATATAGGAGTAGAAACATAAATAGGGGAACTCAAAGAATCCCGAGGTACACCCAAATGTGGAGCAAAATAAGAAGACACATAAGAGTAAGTGGAGCCTGGATTGAATAGAATCGATGCATCTCTGTGACAAACCAGTATAATACTTGTGATGATAGAATTGGAGGCAACAACCTCGGTATGGGCAGGAAGGGCATAGTACCGGGCCTGCCCCTCCCTCTAGGGTGACCTCTACCTCCCGGACTTCCACCTCTAGCTGGCTGAGTAGGTGGGGTAGCAACTGGAGCTGTAACCATAGCCTGAGAACTCTACGGGGCACGTTGTGGTTGAGAAGTCGTTAGAGGTGCATCCCTCCTAAGTCTGGGGCAATCCCTCACCATATGACATGTATCACCATACTCAAAACAATTTCTAGGAGGACGTGGTGGTTTTGACTGGCTCAGGCCAGGTCTGTTGGACTGTCCACTGAAAGCACCCTACGTAGGAGGCGCACTAGATACTGGAGGTGCATAATAAGGCTCCTGGGGCCTAGGAGGAGATGGAATACCACTGGCTGCTGGAAAAGCTGAATGAATGGGGCAGCTCATATAAACCCTACCATGACGACCTGCAGGTGGGGCATGGGCACCAGAATAATGGCCCGACTCTCGAGACATCTTGGCCTCCCTCTCATCTCTCTCTCTAGCATGCATACCCTCAATCCTCCTAGCAATGCTCACCACCTGCTGATAAGAAATATCCATCTCCAACTCACGATCCATGTTAGACTTGATGCTGGGAATAAGCCCCTCAATAAACCGGCGAACCCTCTCGCGAACAGTAGAAACCAAGGTTGGGGCATGTCTAGCCAAGCTTGTGTAACAGACAGCATACTTCGAGACAGTCATAGTACCCTGGTGCAAATGCTCAAACTCTGTGCGTCATGCATCCCTGAGGCTCTGAGGAACAAACTCCCTTAGGAACATATCTGAAAACCGAGTCCAAGTCAGTGAAGCAGCCTCGTCCGGACTGTCTAACTCATAGGTGCGCCACCACTCGTAGGCGGCTCCTCGAAGCTGGAAGGCAGTGAAAGAAACTCCACTCGATCCTGATATACCCATAGTGCGGAAGATGTGGTGACACTCCTCCAGAAATCCCAAGGCATCATCTGATGCTAACCCACTAAATATCGGAGGATCATACTTCTTGAACCTCTCAAGCCTCTGTTGCTCATCCTCTGAAGCTATTGTCCTATCCTCGGGCTGACTTGGGACTACAGGTTGTACAGGAATAATCTCTGGAACCTAATCAACATGCACTCGCTTCTCAAGAGTGCGGGCGGCGGGAGACTATGCTCTTCCCCCGGCCTGAGATGTGGATGCAGCAAGGGGAAGCAACCCTGCCTGAGCCAAAGTGGTGTACATGCTCATGAACTGCGCAAGAGTCTCCTAGAGAGCTGGAGTAGTAGTAGCAGTAGGCGTATCAGGTGCCTGGACTCCGGCTGGAACTGCTGGTGGTACCTCGACGGCAGCTCGCGCGGGTGCTCTGGCTGCACCACGTGCGCACCCTCGGCCTCTACCCCGGCCCCGGCCTCTAACGGTTGCAGTAGGAGGCGTGGGTGCCTGATCATCTCGGGTAGCACGTGTCCTCACCATCTGTGAGAGAATAGGAGATAGAAATTTAGAATTATGATATCAAAATCTCGCACAACAAGGAAATCAAATAAAGTGGAATTTTCCTAACAGTTACATAGCCTCTCGTAGATAAGTACAGATATCTCCGTACCGACCAGTGAGACTCTGATAAATCGGCTTGTGATTCATGACTCCTATGAACCTAGAGCTCTGATACCAACTTGTCGCGACCCCGGTTCGCCCTCCGTGAACTATCGTGATGGCACCTAGTCTCTACAACTAGGTAAGCCTAACAATGCGGAATATAAACAACAATTGCGGAAGAAATAATTAAAAACCGAAATAGTGAAATAAAAAAGAGTTTAAAGTGTCGCTCGACATATACCATAACAACTCTCGAAACTAATAACATTTCCCAAAACCTTAAATCTCATGATCACAAGCCTTTGAATGTCTACAAACATCTAATTCCAGAATATCTAACAAAGAAACAAAAGTATAGAAGGGCTAATTCAAAAAGAGAGAGTAGAAAGGGACTCTTCGGTATGCGGACGCGGTAGATATACCTCGGAGTCTCTACAAGTGCCTCGTCTCAAGCGTGATAAGTCTGAGTGGAAGTACCTAGATATGCACATGAAGACATGCGCATAAAGGGCATGAGTACACCACAGCGGTACTCAGTAAGTGCCAAGCCTAACCTCGGTCGGGTAGTGACGAGGAAGGTCAGGGCCCTACTGTGGTTAAATAAAATATAAGGTTTAATAGTATAGAACAAAAACAGTATAAATAAGTACAACAGCAAAAGTAACGCAGGATATAAAAGATAGCAACAACTACCACAGAGGCCAAGTAAACACAGAAAGAAATATAGCTCAACATAAAGATAACAACCGGAGATCTCCCAGAATACCGTCCTGTAGTCATAAATATAAATATTTAGTGGATCTTCTGGGATACCGTCCTATATTCCAACTCATAATGTGAGGAGATCTCCCGGAATACCGATCCGTAGTCCCAAATGTAAATACTCAATACAGGGAGAAATATACTGGGTGCAGTCCCGTAGTTCCAATGTAAATGTACAGGGGGATCTCCCAGAATATCGTTCTGTAGTCCCAAAGTAAACATACAGGGGGATCTCCCGGGATACCGTCTCGTAGTCCCAAAGTAAACACATAGCAACAACAAGAAGAGTACACAGTTCAAT